ATAAGAAGAAAAAAAGCAAAAATTTCAAAAAAAAAAAAAAATGCCGTAGGTTTACTTGTTTGATGTTGGTTTTGCGAAGCATTGCTCAACTTGTTTAATTCAGTCAAAAATTTATTTATATTGTATAGTTAGATTCTTTTAATTTATTTTTTAGTTTATTTTATTTTTTTTCTTTGAAACGAATTCATTAGTAGTAGACTATATGGGTTAGGACGACGTAACTGCAGGAGGAAAACACATCTTTCTACACAGCGACGTTGTCTTCAATAAAAGTATCGAGAAGGAGTGTTAGAGAAGGCTTATTTATAAAAACGCTTTGGTTTGTCATTTTCTTGGTACACTTGTAACAGCTTATTTTCCTTTTTCTTTACGCGATCAGTTGAGGTTGGTTATTAGAAGTATAGCGTTGATTGAGCGGTCTCAACAAATGTGATGGTTTAGGAGAAGAAATAGGGAAACTGTGTTGTTTTACAGTTGTTGTTAGGGTGATATAGAAGAGTCACCTTTTACCAGCTGGACAGTGTTGAATTGTGAGGGGACAACTAGTGGAAGGTAGAAACCAAGTTTGAACAGGGTTGCTGATGGCTCAAACAATATCTTTCTGTTACCTAATCAGTCACTTTCTTTGTGTGAACACTTTTACTCGTAAAACGTTTTATCTGAACTTTTTTTCACATGAAATGCATTTCCTGTAGATTGAACAGGGAAAATAGTGCATTAAGGAGGGTTAAAACGGTGAAGTTAAACAGTTTTAAACTACTAAATTTTTTTGTTGACAAATGCAAATGAGTTTTGGAGGGGCAAATGAAGGATGATATTTACCGGCAAATAAAATTTTTATCCGAAGAATAAAAAGTAGTGTTGTTTCAATCTAATTTTTTTTTTTTTTTTGATTCTCAAGGTTTTTTTACTAAGCTATTTCTTTCGGTAGCTTTTTAAAGCAAATCTAGTCCGCTTTTACCTTTTTGCTGCTTTCTTTGAATAATTTAGGCTGCTGACATTCTTTTAAGCGGCTAAATCTAGCTGATTTATAGCGTCGAACAGCAATTTTTTGCTTAGTATAACCTTTCAGTTTAGATCTGCAATTACGCGTTATTGCTTTGTGTACCAGCAGCGATAAAAGCATGAATTCCACTGGGGAGATTAAGGAAGAGGAAAATGGAGAGGGGTTATTTTTTTTTGGCCAATATTTTTAAAATGTTAAGAGAAGTTTTGAATGAAACATTTTTATATCCTGGTTAAATTTCTGAGGTTTTTTTATTTTACTTAGAAGAGTGTGTAAGCTGTAACCACTGACTCAGCCCTGGCCTAAGTGGCGTACAGATTTATCCCTGCGAAATATATTCAGTGCTTAACGTTTATGCGATTATTACTTTCAACACTATTTATTTTTAAAATACACTCTTGGTTGTTCTGACAGAAATTGTCTCAACTTCTTTTCATATTTTACTATGTTTTATATCGTTATCTTTTAAAAATATTGTGCGTCTTTATTTTATTTTTAGTAAATTTCATTTTCGGTAATTGAACTTCAATTTATTTTTGGACTAATTTGAAGGCATTCTTTCTGCCGCTGCTTGAGCAACAGTTCTAACATAGGACCAGATTATGAATAAATTTGACTATTGATGTCCTTGATATTGCCTTCTGTTCATATAGGCATTCATTACCAATGGGCATATTTATTTTCTCTGGCGAAGTTTCATCGGTTTTTGTCAAATAAGTAAACCACTCCGTTCGGAAAGAATGATAAGCGAATAGCATTAGAAATAAGTGATATTTCTTTAGAGAACTGTTTTCAAAATGCTGTTTTTGTCAATTTAAGTATCGTTTTATGACAAGTTTTTAAGAAACATTTTGTAGAAAAAAAAATTGAAGAGAAAGTAAAAAAAATCGATCAATAGAGCATAAAATTATATGGTGGTAAAAAGGTCTTTACGAACTGCGTAACGGCATACAAGGGTGCGAATTGGTTTAAAAATTTTTTTTGCGCAAAATATGCAGGACTTGAAAGGCTGAAGAAGAGAAAACGAAAATTGGTTAATTTCTAATTTTCTAGCGGTTCTTTATTTATTTATTTATTTATTTTGTTGTTATTTATGCCTTTGTTCCTTCTAGGAGAGTTTTTGTTCAATAAAGTCGTTGGTTTTATTCAAAGTTACTGGAAAAAAATTTATGGTGGTAGCAATTTTGCTTGAAAATTAACAAAGTGTTTCAAATTAAAAGGTTATGTTTTCAAAAAATTTCTAGATTTTTGGCCTTGTTGGTCTATCGACATGAAACTATTGTGAACATTCAACGTACTTTGTTTGCTCAATTCCCTTCCCTCTTTTCCTCACTCTTTGGTTATTCATTTAGAATTTAAGAGTATCAGTTCAAGTAAACTTTTTTATACAAACACGGTCTTGGATACTGGTATTAATTGCATTGAAGTTTTCCAAAAGAGGTTTTTAAAACACTTTGATAGGTTTAAAGGGCTAGTGGAAAACAGTGAGTGTTGAAGGATTTTGTTTGATAACTGTGATGACTGTGGAAATAGTAAGGAATTCTAGTGAAATTTGGTCAAATTTAGACAAGTTTAAATATCTGTTTTGTGTTAGTCTTATACTTGTTTCAGGCTGTAGTGTCAGTGACTTGTGAAAAAGTTTAGAAAAAATTTTTTTTAATTTCAAAAATGCTTTTTTACATCATTCTGCTGCTAA